ATTACTGCTCTTCCAGGGAAGGAGTCTAATGACCAAACTCGAGTCTCCTTGAGAGCGGGTGTCAGGTCAGGAGCTCTCACCCTCTCATCCTCCTTCCTGATGATCGAAGGAAAGAGATGTTGGCCGTATGAGTGACCACACACCTCACACCTGACTGCCACGCTGCTCTCTCTAGCAAAGGACCACCTCTGGCCCAGCAGTGCAGTCGGGGTGCAATTGATTGAGATTGAACTACTCTGCTGGCATCTTCCAGGGTCTGTCTGTTTTTGTACGTACAAACCAGTGAGTTAAATAAATTAAGTTGAGGATCAGCACCAGCATCCTTTAGCTATTGTAAGGCTGGCATTATTGCTGTATTCTCTGGAACGTGATATGTATTTTTATTATGTTGGCTGAACTAGTGGGAAGTTTCAGAGCGTTCTTCTTGTCTTCCCCACTAAGAGAGCTGCCATAGGCCGTGGATCCAATGTGGTTGTTGTCGTGCATACCTGGCCAACATTCTATTTCCAGCCGGAGCCACCTGGGGTATGAACCGCGCCAGGACCCCTTGTATTCGGAGCTGCCTCCATGGCCCCATCCACCAGGGGGACTGATATTCTGGCCCCTCTTTCCATTTGGAACTTTAGCACGATCTTCAAAAGTGTGCATGTGCGCCACCCTCCTAGTGGATGTTAACTCATGATACGGCTGGGGCCTATGGAGGAATAACTGGGAAAGTTAGTGCGCATCCTGTGCCTTGACATCGGTCCATCACTTTGTCACCTGGGCAACCTGCATTCCCGTTCAGTCAATTGGCATCCTGGATTGGAACTAGCTCAGACCTAAAAAGTAGGCAAGGAACAAGGAACTCTGACTTTTTATTTAGTCGTTGCCCTCAGCCTCAATTGTCCACCTTGTTTCTTGTAAGATTTATTAGATATCGATGGTAGACGGGTTTGTACGGATCAGGCCTTGGCCACTATCAACATTTTTGAGCCAATAGCTCTTTGCTGTGGGGGGGCGGTCCGAATATTGTACTGTAGTCTAGCCCCCGAGTCTCGACACACCTGGATGTCAGTTACCACCCCCCTCCCTGCTCAGGTGTCAAACAGCCAAAATATCTCCCCCGTTGTGACAACCAGAAATGTTCAGGCTCCTGGCTGGGGTGGTGGGTGGGAAATCAGGAATAGATCGATGTGCCGTGTTTGTGCGCTGTACTGTTGCTGTCTTGTCCTCTGTAGTGCTGTGCCTCTGCTCCACGCTGCTAAACTGAGGTGGCAAGCCAGGGCCTGCTGCCTGCCCCAGACCGTTCCCACTCACTGCGTATTACTGACCACACGTTGCTTTGGTGTTGTGCCTATTGCCACCCGGCTCGCTCGTATTTCTGGAACCTTCACCATTGCCCATTGCTCTCAGAGATCCTGGATCCTATAACGGCTTCCTGGCCGTGGGGGTGGACACCGCTGGTGCTCCGTTATGGCTGGGGCCCATCTCTGGCAGACATCCTTGAGCTGAGAAAGCATGGAGCCTCTCTCATCCTCTGTTATCAGCCTTCAATGCCCGGTTTCTCTGTGAGCCGTTTGACTCGCCTCATACTGTCCTGTATCAAATTTGTCTGTCGCATGTTTTTTTTTGTTTTGTTGTTGTTGTTGATTTTTCATTTTCAAGAGAGAAAATTCTTACATGTTGGCCTTGGAAAGCAAAACTCATTTTCTAGAACAAAAGAGCTTTCTCTGTAACAGCAGCATTCACGCTTAGTAACCACCAGGATATTCATTTATTCAGAAGGAGTTCTGGCTGCCAGTTCGGAGCCGGGCGCGGTGCCAGGTCCGGGCAGGGAGGGACCGGGCGGGCGGTGTGGCCTGGCCTCCCCTCGCCCGGGGCTTACAGCGCAGGAGGACAGAGACGAGACTTCAGTCAGCACGCGTGCACATTAATGCATCATTAAAACAACTCCTTCCAGGAGGGGCTCATAGGGTTATGTTGCACGTCCACATGGGTGGCTAGGGCCAGGGTAGCCTTCCGGCTCCAGGGCCCCGTCACATGCAGCCTGTGAGCGGAGGGATAGAATCTGCAGGGGAGAGTCAAGTTCGAGGCAGCAGGAAAGGAGTTGGGGCGTCAAAGAGAGGACCCCCTGGGTCCGTGCATTAGGGTGGGGCATGCTGAGGCCAGGAGGCTGCGTAGACACCCAGCGTCTATACTTGACATCTGGTCGGGGACAGCGAAGGCAGAGAGATGGGGAGGCTACCCACGAGCTGGGCCACGCGGTTTCCATCCCTGCTGAAGTAAGACCCCGCCGTGCACCAGGGGCTTCGAGCCTGAGACAGCAAAGGCAGGAAATGAAGCAGGAGGGGGGTTCTTTTTAAAAGACTCCGCAGCCCTGAGATTGTACGGAAGTGATGCATTTGGTATGAAAGTCTGACCGAGAGCCCCAGATCGTCAGTGTGTAGCGTCCCCATAAATCACCCCAAAGACTACCTGGCCCAACTCTGCTCCTTCTAGCAGGATCCTGCTTCCAAGTAGATGAAAATATGTCCCTATTCCACACATTCTTTCCATAAATTATAGAGCCACGTGTCTGTGTCTCAATTCGGCCAGGCTGAAGGCTCCCCTGAGATCTAATGTATGAAGCTGCAGCTCTCATTCTCCTGCAGTTCCTTCAAAATTTATTTCCCAGCTCCATATGTTGCCTGTCTTTTTTTGCTCAGGTCGGCAACATAGTGTTTTTGTATCCCCAGTGGAGGAGATGGACACGGAGGGGTGGAGGGCCCTTGCTCTCACGCTGAGGACTGAGGTTCTACAAGCTTCTGGTTGAGATTCCATCCACTAGGCGGTGCCGTGGTTGGCTACTCTGAGCAAAGTCGTGTGATGGGTGCACGGGAGCTGTTTAACCAAGGTTGGCATCTGTGTATAAACGGCCAAGCAGAGCCTGAAAGGAGGCAGGAGGAGGGAGCCTGGAAAGTTCGGAAGGAGTGTGTGTGCACATGCGTGTGCATGTGTGTGCACACGTGTGTGTCCTTTGGTTACTTTAAGCAGTGATTCCCAAATTTGACTACTTACCAGAACCACTCGGAAAGGTTTCAGGGCCATGCATCCACTGTCCTTGACCTTGGGGCTCCTGAGAGGAGGTCCAGGTAGTCTTCGCAATCCTTGGTCTGGTGGCTGGTCTTGTTGGGGCACTACTGTCCCGGAGAATCCATGGGGCCAGGAGCCATAGTCTGAGGGCCACCTGTCAGGGGATGACGGAAGGTGTGCCCAGGCCAGAGAGCCGGTTAAGCTCGCCTCCTGCACAGCCTGCAAAACCACACGCAGGGCCCTGTGGGGGCTGCCACCTCCGGAAGACCTCAGCCTCCACTTTGAGGCTCTGGGTGCTCCAAAGCCCCACGAGACAGGAGTCCAATGGGGAGGGTGTGTTCTGCTCCTGAGAAATTACAGGTTTCTCCCAGGATGGGCAAGCAGGCTTCCCTTCCTCTAGACCAGGGGTCCTCAAACTTTTTAAACAGGGGGCCAGTTCACCGTCCCTCAGACCGTTGGAGGGCCGGACTATAGTTTAAAAGAAAACTATGAACAAATTCCTATGCGCACTGCACATATCTTATTTTGAAGTAAAAACACAAACAGGCAAAAACACCCGCATGTAGCCCGAGGGCCGTACTTTGAGGACACCTGCTCCAGACTGTTATATGTCACAGGTGGCGCTAGGGTCCCAGCTCTTGACCTTGGCCTTCCTCTTCCTCCTCCTCCTCCTCCTTGGCTTCCCACTTCTAACTACCTGGGGAACCTTGAGGGCCCCTGCCTGGCCTTCACAGGTGTGAAACTGGGGAGTGAGAGGGCAAGGAGCGGGCTGCCTTTGTCAGCCTGCAAGTGATTCTCGTGGTCAGGAGAGTTTATTATACATGCGTATAATATGTGCAATGCTCACTTCTGTTGCTCTGTGAGATATGAGATGTTTTATGATAGCTCGTCTACCAGACTTTCCACTGCAAGGGGCTTGCTTGTCTGTAGACAGACCCCATGAAAAGTGGTTGTAAGTTAAGAAGACTTGTCCCTACCGAACCTGCTATTGTGTCACGCTCCTGTCCGTGCTGTGTGGCCGAGGGCTCCCGGCCCGTGCTCACTTGGGGTGTGGCCTTTCACTCACTCTCCAAGCTGGACCCGCCGAGGAGGGGCTCAGTGTGGGACGCAGTGCAGGGCAGGAGGGCAGAGGGGCGCCGGGGTGAGAGACGAGAGAGGGTTGCCGTGCTGGGGTCAGGGGGCCTGCCCTGCACGGGGAGAAGAGGGCTGTCAGGGGCGCCGGAATCTTCTTGCCGGACAGTTAACTCCCTCCCCAGGGGAGAGGGTGCGGAAGCTCCTGGGGTCTGTGAGGGTCCGCTCTGATGCCTTGAAAACCCTTCAGAGCCTCTTGCGGTCGGGCTGGAGCCGCGCGAGGCCAGGCGGCGCAGGCCGGGCAGGCCTCGGCGGAGGGAAGCGAGTCCCCTTCCCCGCGCTGGCGTGGCTGTGACAGCTCACAGGGGAAAAAAAACGTCCAACGGTAGGGCTCCTCTGTCCAAATCGGCGGTCTCAATCCCATCTGACCGTCTGAGCTCAGGGTAGGCAGGCGGGGGGAGGGACAGGAAATGCCAGTGGAGGAAGGGAAACGACAGCTCCGGGAACAGGAGGACAGGAGCCCGCGGGTGGCGTGTTTAGAGCCCCTCATTCATAGAGAGAACAAGCCCCTTCATTGGACAAACGAAAGGATTTGCACGCGTGTCGATCCTGCACGCCTTGAGAAAAACGCACCGCGGCCTTCCTGTGATGGTCTTTGTCCCTCTGACTTTTTTGTACTTTGTTTTCCTTAATCGGGGCGCTTCCTCCCGTCCCTGGCAGAGCGGGAGCAGGGACAGCAGAGCATGCTGTCCCCCTCTGCGCCACGAGGTGGCGCCTGGCGCCCTCCGATGCCGGCCGGGGCTTCCGACAGGTGAGTGGCTCTCATTGGCTCTCGGCAGGCGTGATGCCACCAGGCAGCTCTTTTTAAGAGAAAAGCCAGGACCGGTGCAGCAGCGAGCCCTGAGCAGTGCTCTCTGTGCCTGGCGAGCGGCGGGGACCCAGCTGCTGAGTTCGAGCCAACATGAGCGAGGTGAGCGACCCTGCGCTTGCACAGGCAAACTTGGGAGAGAGGGTCGCTCGGGCGGTCTCAGGACCTGCGGGCTGGAGACCAGATGAGTCCTGTCATTATCTGCTTGCAGGACGGGCGCTACTGATACATTGGCGTGAGTGGCAAGTGCAGAAATGCACCCGAATAGCAAGTGCAACTTTTAACGTTAGCCTCAGAAAGAGAAAGGGATTCATTGTTTGCTGCTGATCTAATTTGTGACTTTGAAAAGTGCTTCTGGGTTTTAGACCTCAGAGGAGAAAGCCGATTGCTCTAGTCTCTCCTGAAGATTTGTGCTCTTTCCAGCACCCGGTGTCTTCAGGCTTCCTTCGACGACACCTTTCAGGATGTGAGCAGGCAGGTGGCCGTCTGCCGGGAGCAGGACCCCGGAGGGAAGGGGAAGGGGAGAGAGGGTTTGCAGTCAGTCGGGCGGCTTTTCGTGGCCTGGCCGTGCAGAAGCGTCGCTGTACGAACTCCATCTGCAGTTAATCAGAGCAGGGGAAGAAATGCAAACACTAGCACCAACCGGGAGAAATCTGGGTGCAGAGATGGGTGTCTCTCAGTCGGGAGGTGGTGTTGGCAAAAGAGGAGCCACAATTTCAAATCAAAAGTCCCTTCTCTGAATTTGTTTATACAGAATACGTTTTGTTGGGGAAAACTGACAGCTCATTTATTTTCTTTCTCTTCTGAGGCAGATGTGGGGTTACCTACCACCATCCTCTCATTCAACTCCACCACCGAGCCAAATACATTTTTATTTCCTCTTGGTTGGCACTTCAAATAATTACTTTTAAAAATCTTTTATCTTCTCTGTCTTTTTTTACCCCTTCTTTTGACAGATGGGTGATCTTTTTTTGGAAGTCTAGAGTAAAATTAATAGCTTAGAAATAAAATGCCTCCTCACTGCTTTTATCTCCCTGACGGGTGACTTTTGGTATAAACACAGCGGGAGGAAGGGCGAAGCACTATAAAACTTAGGGACGAGGGTTGGGACGGAGCCCAGGGCTTGAGGTGGGAAGGAGAATGCGGGGCAGAAGACAGGAAGTTTCCTGACAACACCATGGGCGGAAACTGCACCAGCAGGGACATTTGCCTAATGGTCTCCGAGCTGACATGGTGTCCAGCGCCCTGCACACCTGTCACCACCTTTCAGCCTCCCAACAACTCTGTGCAGTAGGCTGCATTATATATTCCCAAATGACAGATGGGGAAACTGAGGCACAGAGCCATGCACTAACTGGTTCAAGGTCACCAGCTAGTGAGCAGCAGAGCCAGGACTTGGGTTGCAGTGCTGGGCGATCAGCCGCCAGGTGGATCTTGAGGTCCAGATGTGCTTGGGATTTTCTGAACAGCTGGGCGCCGCAGAGGGGTCAGGGAGAGAGTGGGGGGGCGAGGAGAAGGAAGCTGAGATATAGGGTGCTGAGGACGAGGCCTCCGTTTCTCACATGCTTGGGTGGGGGGCTTTTCGCTGGACGCTGCAGAGGTTCCAGAAGCTGCCGTGTTTGTGTCGGCTCACCTTGCTTGCAACAGGAAGGGATGGCCTTGGAAGTGGTTTTCCTTTATGTACAACTTAACAGTTCCCGCTAGAAGATGGACTTGGAAACCAGCATAGCCCTGGGGGCCCCCTTTCTTGGGTCAAGGTAGCTTCCTGGGATCCTGGCCCAGTGACCCGGTCTCTCTCGGAGGCTCCTGTGCAGCGGTGCTTGCGAGCTTTCCAGGCTGCTCAGCTGGGTCGGGTTCACTTCAGGGAGAGAGCGTGTCCCAGAGCTCACCCATGATTAGGGTCACAGCCTCGTTCCTGCTGAACGTGTAATTGGGGCAGGAGTTGGACACGTGTGCAGGCAAAGAGCTCTCGCCTTAGTTCCTTTAATGAGCACAAAAGCCCACAAGATGCAGGTCCCTCCCCGTGGCTCCCTCCCGTGGCTCCCTCCCGTGGCTCCCTCCCGTGGCTCCCTCCCGTGGCTCCCTCCCGTGGCTCCCTCCTGCGCCGTCTCCCCCGAGGGAGAGCGGCCCCCTTCTCCCCACCACTCCCGGCTGATCTCCAAGTCCCTGGGTGTGTGTTCCCAGGAGAGCAGGAATTTGTCCTTTGACTAAAGCTTAAATCTGCTTAAGACATTTAATAAAGTGGAACAGAAGCTCCTTTCTAGGTGGAGAACTGAATTACCCTCCCGTCCCCAGCCCCTGAAAAGTTTTCTTTAGTTGGGTGAATTCAATGTGGCTTCCAGTTTTTTTTAAAATAACTCTCAGGTGGGAACGGGTTTCAGAGGATCACTCATTTTCTCGTGTGACTAATTACCAAGGGGGCCAGAGCAATGGATTTTGTCAGACATCCCTCTGATCTCAAGATTCATCTGGGTCTGGTGGGCAGGCAGCTCCTGCTGCAGTCTTCAGGGCTTAGCGCCCGCGGCGGCACCCCGAGCTCACCAGCTGCTCCTCCAGCCCGTGCGGGGGCCAGGCTGGGCAGAGAGGACCCCAGGGGCCCAGTGCTCCCTGGGGTGGGCTCTGCTCTGTGTCGCTGGGCCTCCCTGCCTTTAAGGGGAAGGCCTTGAGCTGGCTTTAAACTGGGCAACTTTGCAACGTGATGTCTCTTCCAGCCCCTGCAGCAACACGTTTTAGGGGGAATGGCGTGATTGAAAGGAGCGGTGAGGGAAGTCAAGTCCAAATTTAGGGCAATGTGAGAGAGTGGAGGTGGTCTGCGGGGGTGTCTCATTTACATTTCAGTATTAAAGTATTGTCACATGTGCCTGGAGCAATGTATGAGATGAACTGGAAGATAATATAGCAGGATCCAAATGCAGGCTTAAGTGTATTAGCCGGATCAGAAATCCTAACCTCCACGGCCCGAGTTTACAAAATGCATTCTGTTCTCTTCCCCGTGGCCTCACCGTTCAAAGGAAAAAAGGCTCCCTTTGTTTAGTCATTTAAAAAAGAACCCCAGGAACAATGACAGTCAGTCCCATGTTTTCCTTTAGGTGCCTGTTTTTAAGTTGCCTTTCAAAAGAGCTCATTTAGGAGAGCGGATGAGCAAGATTCTAAGGCATGAAGACAGACATCTGGAGAGTTAGTTTAAAGCAGGACACACCAGCACCGTGCTTGGGAAGGGTGTAGGGAGATGTTCCCAGTTCCATAATCAATTGGCAGCTATTGATTAGACTTGAGACCCCTTTGGGAAAAGTCTCCTCCTAACCCTAAATTTCACTGTCATGGGGTGTCGTCTTGCTTTGGCTTGGATGGGATGCAACTCGGTGCCAGGGGTGTGGGTCTTTCCTTCATGCAGCCTTTGCCACAGTGAAAGGCCTGTGCCATCAAAGGCATGGTCTGAACCGCACCAAGGACATTCAAGGGCAAATCTTCAGATACACACGTCTGTCCTGAGCGCTGAGACCAAATATACTGTCTGTTTAATTTATTGTATGCATGAAAACATACAGGGATCTCTGAGGAAACAAGAAAACAGTGAATGATACCGTTCGGGGAAGAGATTTCCAAGGGAAGGCTACACGCACTTAAATCTTGGGGCAGGGGCATAGAAGAGGCATGAATTTTAAAACGATATTTGTCAATTGATTAAAAAAATATGTGACTTTGATTTGGGGCTTATGTAGCTGTTAGCCGTCATGGTAACCCAGTGGAAAGAAAAAGGGTAAAATGAAGCAGTCCTGAGATGAGAATGATAATAGTTTTGTACTTCTGATGATGTGATAGTAAACCAGAACAGATGCTAATGCATGGGCGGTTAGGTTTGTAAGGAACTGTATATTCTAGACTAGTTGTTGAGCACAGATTCTGAGGGTAGCTGCATAATATCTGGATTTTGCAACTGGACCCAAATGCCTAGCAACAGGTCAAATGATAGTTCAATTTCTTATGCAATTTTAATTTCATTTGAGGGTGTACCTGCAGCAAAGATATAGAAAGATCCAGGGAGATCTATTTGGCTTTGTTGGACCCCACAATGCCAACACTCCCTGCTCTAACTGGGAATAGTAAGCTTAGACAGATACCAATTACAACTTGAGTTTGACTTTTCCTTACAAGGAAGAGGTCAAAATTAAGCATGAAAATGTGTTTTCTGGGCTGATTACCATAAAATTTGTTTCCCTGATCCTGTATTTCATTAACTAATGCTGTGGCTTTAAAAAGTTTCAGTTTTTCTCTTTTAAATTCTAAGAATGACAGAATGAAAGATGTTTTTTTTTTTTCAGAAAGAAAATAAATGACTCACAATTGATTTCATTAAAGGTTTAGTGGAGCAGTGGGATCAAGGCGAAAGGAAAGCATGGGTTTTGTAATGGAAAGTCCCCTGAATTTATGATGAATCCATTCTCTGCATTATTTTTTTAGAATTCCAATTTCTGCTCTCGGTGCTTCATGAGAGATGTTATCCCTAGGTGGAAGACATCACAATTTGTCTGCGGTCCTGCTGTTCTTAGTCCACTTGGCACACTGCACTATCTGGCACGAAAATAATATTTCATCAGCCCAAGCCTGGGGCTCCTCATTAATTCAGAATGACTTTCCAGAAAGGGCTTCATACTGGAGGGAAAGAAGGGTTTTAGGGGAGACACACAGACAGGTTTCTATTATATCCTACTGCTGTTTTTATAAAACACACCGTAAAGATCATGCTGTTAAGGTCTCGTAGGTTGCGTGTTGTTGGTTAGAAGAGCCGTATCTAGACCGTGGATTTCCTGACAGTGACAATTCTATGCCATCCACGAGGCCTGGCTGCAGGTTTGGCACTCGGGGAATGTCCAGTTACTGAATGAATCAACAGCTTGTGGGGTGTGGCTTCATGAGTTAATGTCACCAGTGGTCTAAATGTTGAGACATTTAGGGTACATTCGGAGAGGACACGCTTTGTCTTTTGCTCTCCGCTCCTGGTTTGGAACCTGTGTTTGCCATTTCAATCCTTTTGAGTGGGAAATGCGTGTATTGTTAGAGACGCAAAATAAATGCTCCTAGGACAGTAAAAGAAAATGAGA